GTTTCAAAATTTTATTTTTGCTGGTATTTACCTTTCTCCTTAGATCTTTTAATCATGCTGTTGATAAACAACACTATGTTGTTCAGCTATAAACTACATCGTCTCTTCATCTGCCGAAAGACAATAAATAATAAATGTGTGTCAAAGATATCAGCTAACCATGGATAGTGAAACAAAGATCCAATAAAACGTCTATAAGCAAGTTTTATTGGAATTATGTCAAGTTTTAAAATTTTATTAGTAGAAGCGACGCTAATAGAGATGTAAATTTATCGCGGAAATTTCCGCATAGATTTTCCTTTGTATTAAATATTCATATATTTTTGGCGAAGCGCTCGTTATAATCAAGTAAATTTCCGTAACAAAAGTTTGCGACAAAAAAGATGTTACGTTTTAAAATTACTGGGTTTCCCTGATACCCGACAAACTTACTGTACACTATCGAGCTGCTGGAAACAAAGGATACGGCCAAATTATTAGTATTTTATATGTTTCGCCTCGATAACAAACAAATTATCCATTTGTCATGGAAAATGCTCATCAAGAAATATAGAAAAGATCGTAATGTTTTTATTCGGGACAGTTCAATATTACGTTATCTAAAGGACATCGATTTGTCATAACTCGTAACGGATCATTTATAATTCAGTTTTCATACACATCAAACTTTTCCCGTTTAGTTCCCAACTAAGATGAATAATACAAGTGGTAAAAAAGTTATTTCCGTAGCCCGCCGAAAGAAATATTATTTAGGCTATTTGACAGTTGAAAAAATAATATTTTATTAATGGAATTGATTCATATAATCACACATAATAACACACTAATTACTATGGGTATCATCAGAATTTCCATGAACAAGTTGGAACCTGCGCTTCTGGCTTTTTATTTAAGCAATTTATATTCTTTTCAAGACAGATAAATGATAAACCAAAAGTTTGAATTTTGATAAGTCTGTAGTAAGTATGCAGTCCTAGTCTAAAAATCACCAAAGAAACAAGTAAATTTTAATTTACATTAAAATGAGGCTTTGAAAAGTCGTTTAAATGTCATTTAATTCTTCTTATTCTATAATTTTTCTCAATTTTTGCAGACGTATCCTAAAATTGTATTTCGTTTTACACTTATTGACCACTTGTTAGTTGAACTTCTCATATTTTTGGTAGATTGTCCAGATTGTCCAGATAATCTGTTATTACACATCAAACCAAAAACAGGGAAGAAGTGATATATTTAAAAACAACCACAAAAGACAAAAACAGAGTGTCTTGAAATCTGTTTCTTTTTAAATTTATCAAAAAACTGATATACTGGACGTCCCAAAAATCATGGATCAAATTTAAAATAGAGAACAGGGATAACCATATCCTACCTAATATATGAATTGATGAATTTAACTCTTGTGGAAAATGAGAGCTGATTATTAAATATATCATTAGGTGCTTTGAATTGCCTCATTAATAATCAGCAATATTCGCACTTCCTTCCGACTGCAGATTTCCTGGTCGCGTTTGCTTGCGAAATAAAGCAATTTATTAAAAACTAAGAAAAAGTCATTACGACCTGCATACCTATGTATATGTTTTCCATTAAGTCATCGTATTTTCTAATGGTATCAATGTAATTTTATTATACCAAAATGAATAATATAACATTTAATCTTTATATTTTTAAAATCTTACAAGTCCAACCCTGATTGTTTGTCCTACATTACGGACGGTCATGTTTTTTGCCACCTGCAGATCATTTAGATAATCACCGTCAAAAGCCAAGCTAACATTAAATTTGTATTTTCAAATTCAAATATTAACGAAATAAGCTTTTATCTGATGCTCAAAAATAATTGGTTACTATAACACTCTATATTTCAACAAAGAAAAAAGTAATAATTTCTAAAGAAATGTTTCTCTTTAAACAGGTGTTCAACAAAAGCTTTATTTTTTTATTGGAAATGGCGCCTCCAATTCCCTGTTCAAGTTATTTGCGGCTCATTTAGCGAAAATTGTCTACCGTGTCTAAATTTATTCGACAACCATAAAATAGAGTATCAGAATTCGGGTCTAGAGATAAAGCCGAAAAACAACAAATATTTTGTCTATGTAAGCTACGACAGAACATTCGATACTCCCTTTGTTCCTTTGCCCTCCATCAATCGGGATCTAAGCAAAAAAAAAACAAAAAAAGATTACCGCCCCGCATCATTCATTTTTTTTTCCTTAAATGCCGCGGAGCTTCTACATTAAGTCTCTATCGGAGAAAAATAATTAATTTGTAGCGTTGGTGATGCTGTTGATCCTCTGCCAGTCTCTCCTTCTTCGCCTTATTCTCGGGTAGCATGTTGGCATGTTCGCCGACCATTAACTTGCTAAGTCTAAATCAGCCCGTCTTTTTTTTTTGGTACGGCTCCACAAAATTCCAACAAAACGTGAAGTTTAAACCCCACACGAATTCGGTAACGTAATACGTTCATTATTTAATTCTAGTTAAATTATGTGTTTCCCCTACCCATAGCAAAATGCGCATAAAGAATTCTACACGATCGGGCAAACTCATTGGGCAGTTCTAGCAAATTTTTAAACGTAATAAATGTATTTAAAAAAAAACTATATAAGATACAGACCATTTAGCCGCGTAATTAACCAAAGTAATGTTTCTGATTGTGTTGCTCTCACAGAATTTGGTAGATGATCATATATCTTAATGCAATTAATATGCACTTATAATAATTTTTAAACGTAATAAATGTATTTAAAAAAAAACTATATAAAATACAGACCATTTAGCCATGTAATTAACCAAAGTATGGTTTCTGATTGTGTTGCTATCACAGAATTTGGTAGATGATCATATCTTAATGCACTTATATGCACTTATAATAATTTTTAAACGTAATAAATGTATTTGAAAAAAACTATATAAGGTAGAGACCATTTAGCCATGTCATTGTTTCTGTTTGTGTTGCTATCACAGAATTTGGTAGATGATCATATATCTTAATGCACTTATATGCACTTATAATAGTTTTTAAACGTAACAAATGTATTTAAAAAAAAACTATATAAGGTACAGACCACTTAGCCATGTAATTAACCAAAGTATTGTTTCTGATTGTGTCGCTATCACAGAATTTGGTAGATGATCATATATCTTAATGCACTTATATGCACTTATAATAATTTTTAAACGTAATAATTGTATTAAAAAAACTATATAAGGTGCAGACCATTTAGCCATTTGTTGTTTTTTTTTTCAATGATCTTATGATACAATAAAACTCTTATTATGTCAGAAATTTGTTTTTTTTTCCATAAGCTCAACATTTGTTTTATTTAGCTCTGGCTTTGCCTAGTTCGAAATAAAATAATTTTACTCTTACAACCATTTACTATGCTTTTTTTATGCGTAAAGCACAAATTTATTTCGTCAAATGCCTTTTTTGATTTTTTACCTCGTGTCGTCAGCAAAGTTTGTAATCAAAGAGTTATTCCCTTAGTAGATCGTTCAAACAAAAAAATAATAAAATTCATGCCAGTATTTGCAATTCCATTGCTTTATGCAACATAATTTCTGAGTAGTCTAGGCCCTAGACAATCAAATGTCTTACTCAAATTTAAAAGTAAACCTATGCTATTTTTTTTTATTTATTTGAGAATTACTTCAGTAAACTAACAAATAGCGGCGCTAGTTGCTCTATTTTTCAAATGCGCATTCTGGGAGTTAGTTTTGGGAAACTGGGAGATTTTTCGATAATTTTACTATACTTCTACTACTCACTCATGTTCTGTCACTGCGATTATCGACTGCTTATTTCCTTTGATATTGTTTTGAATAGGAATATGAGCTTGCGGATTGCAGTTATCTCGAATTACATTAATATTATGTTTCCATTATTCAAATATTAAATTACATAATAAATACGGCATTTTGTTGCTATTTTAGAACATAATTGTTGATATTTTGCCACGTATCTTCGAACATATGAAACAAAATTCTTTCCACAGCGGCCAAATAAGAGCGAAAATGTCGTAAATTGGTATTCGAAATCAACTTCTGAGAAGGATATTTATAAAATCATTTCCTATAACAGTGAATCCAACTCATAATCTTCGTAAACGATAACCTTAATAATTTATTTGGGTCAGCCAAATCAATAACAACGCGATAACCGAAATTATTTCCACCTTTATTTTTTCTTGCTATTAAAATGTACCAAAAAGGTTAAAAATAAAAAATTAATTAATCCCATTTGATCAGGAAAGGCAATAAAACTATAAATATTGGTACTTCGTCGTATATGTTTATAACGAAATCAGACGATCTGAAGCTAAATTTAGATGCTGAGGTATTTGTGCAGCTATCAAACTCAATATAAACTTCCTACGACCTTTATTTACCATTTCTGCTTTAATTCGATGTGTTTCGGGCACGCGGATCAGAATTCGAAACCCCTATCGAAAAATCAACGTTGAAAGTAATTTAATTAAAGAAATCGATCGGATCGGGGAAAATACTGAAACCATTTTCATTAGAGGATAATAATCAAGGCTTCCTTAATAAAAAAATGAAAATAATAATTATTTAAGACCACTAGCTACGCGATAACATTGTTAATATTAATTTTGAACTATAATCAGCAATTTAATTTGATTTCGCGAATTATTAGTGACAATGCTGAACCCAAATGAAAATATCTAATTGATGAAAGTCAGTCTGGCTTTAGAGGAGGTCATAGTCACAGCCTACAAAGATAATAAACAAAGATTTAGATATAATTAGGAAGATCTCGAGTGAACATGTCATGCAATTAAACCCGGCAAAATCTGGAACTACATGTAAAAAGTGAGGCTGGGAGTTTGGGGGTAATTAATTCTAGGGCTATATAGCTCAAGATATATTCATTCATTCACTTATTTAGTTCCAATTTACAAAACTAAGAAGGCTCGTCTCGCATTTTCAGTTTAATTAATATTTTTCCTAATGTTGACCTTTTGTTGTTCCAGGTGTCCAAGGTGAAAGTGCAAGAATGTACAGTTTACAGAAACTGCATGGAATGCCTCGGAGTCAAAGATCCATATTGCGGATGGTGTTCCCTGGAAAACAAGTAAGTGTCTTTTCGTTCTACAGGGTGAATGAAGTTGAGTGCTCTATTTAAAGTTGCGGAGAATCAGAAAATGCAATTTTATCAAATTCCACTAATCCAACAAGTTTGCTTTCGAAAAATCGTCGCTGGCTGGGGCAAATCCGTAGCGCGTAGCGAGAAGCTGCTTTGTAATTCAAAAAGAAGGAGTTTCGCGGTTCCTTGTACGGACTACTATGGAACTTTCGCAAAATCAATGTAATTTTATTGTGCATACACCCTGTATAAAGTGCCTTTCAAGTTTCGCCGAACTTCAGTGTTACGGCAAACTTTGTTAAATATTAAAATTTGTACGTTGTCGAATGATATTTTTTCAAATATCTCGCGCGCCCTGTATAATTGACGAAACCTGAAACTCTCTCCCGACGCGATGTTCAAATCAAATTATCGCATGTTTATCAGTTTATCATTTATCCCACAAAAACGGAAATTTTTAGGAAGTTACAGATTGTTTTGCAAATAAACGACACACCCAGTATATAATTCAAACAATAGAGTAGGTGGTTTTTAAGAAAATACTTGTTTCCTGAAACCGTGCAGTACATGGTAATAGAAAATGACGTCATCGCGTCTAGATCGAGGGAAAGAAATGGTGATTTTCATTTGGATTTTTTCAAATATCTCGAACAGCGTATGTGATAGACGAAAACCGTGCCGATGTGACCAATTGGCCATATTTTTCATGAATTTTGATTTACGGCTAATAATTTAATAGAGAAAAGAACGATTATCAGGGTCTTTAATTTTGTGTATAATTGAAGAACCATATATATAATGGAAAAATTGCCTGAAATACAAGTTTTGGCCACAGATCTCCTGCATTTCCTGGTTCACAAATTTAGCCGATCGGGTTAATAGTTTTCGAGAAAATATTATTTTTCTGGAAGTCAAAATATACCAAAAAAAATTCAATTTTTTTTTTAAAATACTTTGCGAGATTTGAGTAAGTCCTTTTTCAACAGATGAAATGCGGGTGTAAACTTCTACCCTTCTGCCAAATCTGACGTCGATAGCTGCAAATTTGAGACACCTGTTAATTTTTGAATATAGCACTTAATATCTTGAACACCCTATACAACAGGTGAAAACCTTAAATACAAAAGTTTTAGCTATTTATGCGGGCTATATCGTCGTGTAAAATGAACTAACATCCGAAGTACAATCTTTCAGTTATAGCCAATTTTCAATAATAGAGATACCCATTTTTCAGTTTTTTTAGATTTGCGGCGCACCCGGTACATTTTTGAAAAATTTTCATGAAGCCGAATCTTCTGCGTCTTTCTATTCAAGAATTTTTTTTCGGTCGCTTAAACGGTTTTCGAGAAATGATTTTTTTCTTAGACCCTTGCAAACGCAGTTTTTATTTTTTTTTATATACTTCCCGACCTCCCAGCACCCCTAATTTCAAAAGGTTCCGTCAGGAAACCAAGCTTCATATGTGTGCGAAGTTTGAAGTTGATAGCTTCAAAACAGTCGAAAATCGAAAAAAAAAAAGATGGCCGTCAATTTCCGATAGCCGCCATTTTCAAATATCTTGTGCGTCTAGTGGACTGTTAAAAAGGAGCAAAAATTGAGCCACATAGTTCAAACGGCTCGAGAGTTATTGAATTAAAACCCGCGAAACAGAAAACGGAGAAACGAAGAATGGAGAAATGCTTATTTCTTGACGCTGATTCCATTCAGATTGCCAGTCTGCGCAAAAGTCCAAGCAACGCAATTGTGTGTCCCTATACAGTTTAGAAACTTAAAAAAAATGAAGTGCTGTAAGTGAGCTTCTCGAACATCCTAATTTTGGAAAACCGGCAACGTCGCTTCGAGACAACGTCACCCGTCCATATTTGCATGTTAACGTTCAGGATTTACAGGCGTTTTTTTGAAGCGGTTTGCGGCGTCCCTTTTTAATCCCTTCCGATTTTGGTCGGTTTTCCCGTATACATCTTGGACATTCCCCTGATTAATGCGATTTGATTAGGTCACGTCGGGAACGACGCCGAAACTCCAGTGCCGTTGCGGCGCTGCCGACGATTTACGAAACAAAAATGTTAAAAGTAGAAAACCAAGCGGAATAAGCGGTAAAAATTCAAAAACAATGTTTTTTAAACGCGGCAGTAAAGCGGCAAATAATCATAAAATTCATATTTTCACCCGAATACTCGATTATTAAAACCTATAGAGATGCCTCATATTGCATTGAAATTTATTCCACCTTTTCAATAAATCGCGGAAAAGCAAAAAAAAACAATTATTCTGCTTTTTTTAGCCAATTGGCCACTGGCCACTCTTTGTACGACTGCCAAGGATTTTAGAAATATTTTGCTCATTCATTTTATTTCATTTAAAAACTAACTAAATTTTACATTAGAAGCTGGCAATATGAAACCAACCCCTCGAAATGAAAAAAAAATTATTAAAAATATCAGAAATTAAAATATACGAAAGCATCCAAATTGTTTGAAGTTTCGCATTTATTGCATAACGAAATAAGTGCCCAGTCATAACAGGCACTTTTAGGATAAAAAATCAAAGTTAAAACTTCCCACTAGGCCACAAAAGCTGAAAATCATAAATAACAAGCCTCCTGTACTTCTTAAAAAACTTTTGGATTCCTCCTACGTCTGTTTTTGCTGAGTCGAGCTTGCTGACGTTTCGCCAATCATCCTGTTGACTTCTTCGACGCATGACTGAAACTGGCTCGTATTTTACTCTATACCCGCTTATATATTGTGTGAGGAGGGCGGAGCTAAATGAGGGAATAAAGGTGGTCATGAACACAAATAAACATCAGGAAAAGATTCAAGATATTCTTACAGACGAATCAAATCGTCAACTTAAAATTTATCATACGTCATCTATGGATCGAAACCTTAAATCTGTTATTAAGGGTTCTTCTCTATTAAATTCCGTGAAAAAATCTACCACCCCCCATGACTCTAAAATTCTTCGTCTCTACGGACTCCCACTGTCAGCAACATTGGTTCTCCAACATATTCTCTAGCAAAATATCTAGCTTCCTTATTAAAACCCTTTACAGGGAAAACTGACAGTTTCGTACTTAATTCCTTTCACTTAATTGAACAATTAAAAAGCATTACACTAGATACACAGGATATTCTAGTTAGTTTCGACGTAGAATCCCTATTTACCAAAGTTCCTATTGCTGAAACTCTCAACACCATTTCAGATATATTAAAATCCGAGAATCTGGAACCCAACCGTCTCACCTTAATCGAAAAATGCTTGCCTGCAACATATTTTTCTTATAACGGTCAAATTTTTGAACAAACGGCTATGGGTTCTCCACTATCACCAGTCATCGGGAATATATTTATGGAAACCTTTGAGAAGAAAACTCTCTACACCTTTTATCTAAAACAAAAATTATGGAAACGTTGATGATACTTTGGTTATTTAGCCTCATAGTCAAGAAACCCTAGTAGATTTTCTTGGGCATTTAAACTCTATACACCCTAACATACGTTTTACCATTGAGTTGAAAACTAGTAATAACCTTCTTAGATATTCTTATCAATAGAAAATCAGACCTAACATTGGGTCATTGTGTTTACAGAAAACCTACGCACACAGCACCAGCCCAAAAATCATCGTTTATCAACTCTCTTGTTTACAGAGCCGTAAAACTATCTCAGCCTGAGTCACTGAATCCAGAATTAAAACACCTTACCTCTGCTCTTCTCTGTAATAATTTCCACATTAAAGATATTAAGCATTCCATCAAAAAATACACTTCACCACAACCTTCCAAAAGCAATGAGACCGAAAGCAATCCTACGCTTGCCACTGCGGTCCTTGCTTGCATTCAAAACATCACATATCACACATATCAAAAGTTCTAGAAAAGTACAACGTCAAAACCAAATTTACCATTTGTCCAAAAATCTTTCAACATCTTCGGTCTGTCAAAGACAAAATTCCATTTGATATGCGAGGAGTTTACAGCATTCCATGCATATGAAATATGCGAACGAAAAATATCAACTAGGCTCGAAGAACACGAAAGCGCCTTGAAAGAGCCTTACGACTAAGACAAATTAACTCATCAGCTGTTGCCGAACACAATCACAATAAATTTTTATTCGATGAATGTTTTGTTTTAGGCCTTCACGGATGGAACTATGTGTATTGGTGGTAATCCGGATGTTCATCCGTTCGTTTCTGGAGTAGGATCATTCGCCTGACGTTTCGCCAAGTGATATTTTGGCGAATTTGAATTAAGACTTGACTTTATAACCTTCAATTTTTTAAAAATCAAAAGTGTAGAGACAAATGTCGAAAAGTTCTAGAAAATTATTCCCTTTACTTCAAAGTTAAGACCACCTGAGGTAAATCCGGCAAAAGCTTCGCGTCGTATCATAAAAATAAAACCAGGAAACTTTTTGTTTTAATAATAAAAATCTGACAAGTCGTTCGTCTCTATTTCGTACTATTTTTCGCCGTTTCTTTTGTGGCTCGTTTTACGACGAAGTCATCCACTTGAAAGTTTAGTTTTAGTTTGTTCGTAAAAATCCGACGGGAAACACCATTTTCCAATTGCATGTACCTAAGTGATTTCGCAGTTTCTATTGCGTGTAACCTCAAGGCGGCAGTATTCTTTTTGTAAAGGTGATTTCCATTTAAAAAGTTACGCCACTGTTTATATACAGCACCGCATAACCACATTATATATATATATATATATATATATATATATATATATATATATATATATATATATATATATATATATATATATATATATATATATATATATATATATATATATATATATATATATATATATATATATATATGTATAGTCATCTCGGGAGTTATCGATTCTCACTTCTTCTTTCCGTTGCATAATTGCGACCTTAAAACATCCCTCCTCTCTTAAATGGCTCGGTGTTAATAAAAGTTGCAAACGATACGCGTTCGCTACCGTTCTGCCATTCGGGTAGCTTCCAAAA